AAAAAAAAAAAAAAAAAAAAAAAAAAAAAAAAAAAAAAAAGAAGGTAAGGGGGAGAAAGTGGGTGATGATTCTGCCTTCTGTGACCAGAAGTCCAGCACATGGTGCCGGATATTACAGATCCTGCCTTGAAGCAACAGAGTCCTGCTACAAGACACACATGGTGGGGTGGTTGTGGCAGCTGTCAAGTGGGAGGAAAACCCTTTGTTTTCAAGAGGTGAAGGATTCTCAAGGCGTGAATTAGATTCAGGGATATAGTAGGGTTCTGGGAGCCAAAGTAGAGGCCTAAGACTCAGGTTAGACCAGGTCATTGGAACCTGATGTTTAGCCAGGGCTGTCTAATCCCCGAATTGTAGATCAGTGCAAGTCCCGGGGAGTTGGAAGGCATTGAATCTGCAGATATACAGATATATATCTGCAGATATATCTGTAGGAGTCCCAAGTGCTGGGAGGAAGTCAGGAAGCTGGCAATGCCTGACCTGATTTCCTGTAAATTTGGGAGCCATGAACTTGAGGACTATCAGAGATTCCTGTCTGAGCCCTGTATAGTAGTATATGCCTGTAATCCTAGCATTCTGGGAGGCTGAGGCAGGAGGATTGCAAGTTCGGTCCAAACTGAGAATTTTAAAGAGAACTCAATCTCAAAAAAAACAAAAAACAAAAACAAAAACAAACCACACAAAATTAAAAAGGGTGGTGGTGCTGCTGGGGATGTTGCTCAGTGTGAAGGTCCTCAGTTCAATCCCCAGTACTGCCAAAGGGAGGAATTCTTAGCCTTGCGTATTAGAATTACCTAGAGAACTTTAAAAACTGCTTGTACATATACATCAAAGATTCTGATATAATTAGTCTGAGAGAGAGCCTGACCAGTGGGTTTTGTTTGATTTTTTATAAAGCCCTCCAGATAATTCTAGCCTGAGGCCAAGGTTGGGAACCACTGACGTACATGTTGCTGCTTAATGTTTCATTACAGCCTCCTAAGGGAAGGTGCCCAGAGTTGGGGTAGTTTTCATATCTCTCTTTGATACCACAATCTGTGGATGCTCAAATCTCTTATATGAAATGTAGTATTTACATACAACCTACACATACAACATCTACCCATATGTTGTACTTTAAATAATTTCTTGATTGCTTATAATACCCAGCACAGTGAAAATACTATGCAAATAGTTGTTATACTGTATTCATTAGGGAATAATGTCAAAGATAAAAGCCTGTACCTATGCAGTACAGACCCATTTTTTTTCAAGTACTTTTGATTTTGCAGTGGTTGGAACCTTGGATCTGTTGGATCCTTGGATGCAGAACCAAGGATATTGAGGGCTGATTGTACTTGTATTTGCTAGATGAGGAAATAGCACTCAGACAAGTTAAGAAATTTGCTAAAGGCAGGACAGGCTAATTGACTTATTGAGATTCCAGCTCAGTCCAGTCTGACACCATTTTACTCTGCCATCTGACATGAAGTTAATAAATTCTTTATTTTCATAACAGAACTGAAAGCAGAACCATGGCTCAAAAGTTTCCTATGTTGGCAAGACTTTAGTCTATCGTTGTGACTTCTTCCTGTGCACAGTGAAAACCTCAGTATGAAAATGTACCTTAGGGCCGGGGATATAGCTCAGTGGCACAAGCGCCTACCTGGCAAGCACAAGGTCCTGAGTCTGATTCCTGGTACCCACACACACACACAAAAAAAAGTACTTTAGAAGACTAACATGTATCATGTGCTGACTTACTGTGAATTGTAACTACTGTACACGCTCCAGCTCATGCAATTCTCTCAGCAGTTCTATACGGTTGTTTTATTATTATCCTGTTTTACAGTTGAGAAAAGAGAGGCTTTAGAAGGGCTTATCCACTTGCCTAAAGTTGCAGAGATAGTAAGTGAAAAACTCAGAAACCAAACCCATGCCTGCGTCAGTGTAGGCCCTTAACTTTAGATCACCAAAACTGAGCTTCTCAAAAGTTACATTTGAGTTTCCTGGGAAATGTTTTCAAATGCATTTTAATCCAGGGCCTTATGTCCTTACTCCATTTCCAGTTCTGATTTGTAAGTCTAACGTGGGACTTGGACATCGGTATTTTTAAGAAGCACCCCGGGGGGTTCTCAGCCTTGGTGAGGAGCACTGCATTCAGCTGGTGTGCAGAGCTCCTGGCTGGAATTAATGAGGAAATTGGAAGCTTATTCCCTGGAACAGCCCGGGGTTGCAGCAGCAGGAGCTGGGTGAAATGAAAGGCACCAGGGGCTGGGGATTTAGCTCAGTGGCAAAGCGCCTGCCTGGCAAGCGCAAGGTTGTGAGTTCGGTTCCAGGTACCGGAGAAAAAAAAAAAAAAAAAAAAAAAAAAAAGAAATGAAAGGCACCAAAAAGATTCCTGGAACCCAGATACCTTCCCTGTCTGTTTGTCACAGTGCCTGCAAGCCCACCATCAATAAACTAGTCACTTCTCTCCAGGGTCAGGCTCTGTACTTCCTTCTCTCCCCTGTTTCCCTTCATTTAAACTCTCGTGCTTCAGTGTGCAGATACCAAGAAGAGAAACCGATGCAGTGGCCCTTCGCTTTTCCTTCCCCAAAGCACTGGCAGGAGGAGGGGCATCTAAGAATCTTTGCCTAAGATCCTTGGAGGATAGTTACAGCTGAATATGATAGGAATATAAGAATGCATTTCCCTGGGACCGAGAAGACGAATGAAGCTCCCGTTGTCTGGCCATGTGTCCTCCCTGCTTGGTGTCCCCTCCGTACGTGCTCAGCAGCTCAGAGCTCCTGTCTTCTCCCCTGTTCTCCTTAATCATTCTGCCCTAGCAAAGTCTCTAAATCTCATGTACTGAGAAGACCAGAAGGAGAGCTGGAATCCTGGGGAATCCACACATCATAATAGAAGGAAACTGTTATGTCTAGATGTCCCCCCAAAGCCTCATGTGGTCATATGTGGGGCTTTTCAGAGGTAGCTGGATCTAGAGTGTGATGCTGGGATTAAATGTGTAATACTGAGATCAAGGGTGTGTGATTACTAAATTAGTCTGCGGATTAGTTTGGCTTAGTTCTTGGTATGGATAATGGGAAGGCCCATCCTGGGTGTGTAGCCTAGGTAGAATATAAGGGACAGAAAGAGGGCTGATGCTGTTTGTTCCTGCTTCTTCAATACTTTGCTTCTTTGCTGTCTTCTGCCCAACATGAACTGCTTGTCCTTTATGATACCCCTCCGTCATGCCACCCTGCCTTGGAGCCAGCCAATTATGAACTGAAACCTCTACACACTGTGAGCCAAATAAGCCTTTCCTCCCTTAACTTTGGGTATTGAGTATTTTGTCTCAGCAATGAGAAAAGTGACCGAGGCAGAAAAAGAAGAACTTATAAAGGAGGGTGGGAAGGGGCAGCCAGAGGACAGGAACAGGAGAGGAGAATGTCCCAGCAGGCAAAGGAAGCCTGAACTTCAAGAAGAGAGGGAGTTGAGGCTGAGTAAGGTTGTTTGTTTGTATATGAGAGACTTCATTGTGTTTAGAAACTGAATTTGCCGGGACAGAGAGAGAAACAAACAAACAAATAAAAAAAGCAGGACTGGAAGAGAGAACAGAAACAAGATTTAAGAAGGGCAGAGGAGACACTTAACTTCTCAGGGAGAAGAATGAGCCTTTAAAGGGAAACGAGATGAAAATGAGGAATGATGCTGCATAGAAACTGAAAGAAAACTGGGATATAAGGACCGGAAGTTGAGAGCTCACACCCAAAAGTTTCTGTTTTGTCTAAAGTAGGAGACAAAGTCAAGGGTCTGTAGGCTGAGTGGGTCAGGACAGGACACAGGCTGGCTTCAGGACACAGGTCCAACAGTGAGCAACAGACTCCTCTTCTACCTTCCAGGCCAGCTGCCCCATGCCACACATCCTAATGGACTTCCTTGCTCCTCACCTGTCCCCTTCTGATGAGTGCTCCTCAGCTACACAAAGGGACATCATCAGCCCTACTGTGTGTTATGATCAACTAGTGAGATGCATTTTCTCCTCCACTGAGCCTGTTTCAGTGGCAGTTTTCTCTTGTAGTTGTTCATTGTTCCCACACTGCTACATGAACATCCTGCAATTAGGTGCCTTGCTTCTCTTTACCGCTGTGTTTCTAGGGCCTAGAGTATCACCTGGGACTTGTGGATGCACCACACATATGACTGAAAGATGCTACAGCCTCTTTTTCTGCTCTAACTGGACTTTTCTTATGATGATTCAGAGTGATAGTGTAATAGAGGCCACTCCTTTATGGGTTGTCCTTTTTATTCTTTTGGCAGTACTGGGGACAGAACCCAAGGCCTTCCCACTGAGCTACATCCTAAGCCCTTTTTAACTTTTTTTTATTGTGAGACAGGGTCTTGCTAAGTTACCCAGGCTGGGCTCAAACTTGCAATACTCCTGCTTCAGCCTCCCAGAGTACCAAGATTATAGCCTTGCACCATTACCATGCC